TTTGGATTATGTAATTCTGATTTTGGATCGTGCTTGAAACAAATCAGAACGAGGCTTTGATGTGAACATGATTCTTACGCTTGCTCCACGGGTGCTTTGTATTCAAGCGGTTATTGAAACGCAAGCATTTTTACTAATTGGCTGCAGTGAGTTTCATCGCGATCAGCAACACGCTTTGCGGTCGCGGCTGATCGACATACACGTAATCGATTGAGCATGAATATCAGGTGCATTCAGAGGATGAAGCAAGCTCATGTACATGTGTTAATATTTACAGAGCTATGTCTATATGTTAAATGCAGTCCTGGCTGCTTTGCATTTATTAAATATTAGAGAAAAGTATTTTTTTTTTTGGTTTTTCTTTTATCGAACGTGAGAATCTGTTAATATCAAATGGAAGATTCTGTTTTTTGTTATTTGTGAGTAGAGGCAGTGTTAAAAGTTGCACCACAAAAGAGACACTTGGACGCTGCCACAGAGATCCACCTCAGATTGGACACTGTCGAAGTTACCACTGTATCTTCCTCTGGTGGATCTCTGCGGACGCTGAAGTGGAAGTCAAAAAGTTAAACCTGCAAATCTGACAAGAGAAATAAGGTACGCGATTCGACAGCTCACGATCACTCCTCTGTGCAGATCTTTGTACTTGGAGCAATGATGGCATTAGAAAGTGTTCTTTTATGGTGCCTGAGTATAAATATTTTTATTTGGCTTTTTAAAAAAGCTGATAGATTTGTCTGTCCAAGGTTTTTTGGTTTGTTTGTTTATATATGTTAATGATAACCTTACAGAGCCTATAAAGAAAAAAATAAGCTAGCTTGAATATTTTCCTCCATGCAGAAAAAAAATACAAATGTTTACAGTATGTAATTAACCAAATGGTAAATATGCGTTTGAGAATCAATCTGTCTGTCCCTCAAAGAGGCTGAGATGGATTGATTTTATATTTCTTTATTTCCTCTGTCATTTTAAACTTGAAAATGTTATGAATGCTTGTTCCGTTTCTTCCTGTTTCCTTTTTTTAATTTTTACTTGTGAGAACAGTGCTCCCTCAATTTCAAAATAATAACTCAACAAAACGTCGTTAAAAAAAAGATTCATTTAAAACCACAACATACATGCACTCATCAGTCTGTCATTTTCTACCTGCTGACTGCTTCACCTCAAACTGAGCCTTGTACTGCAGCTTTTGCTCTTTATATTACGTACTGTGTGTTCTGGCTCCGTCAGGTGTCTCTCTGGGTCGTAGAGGGTTACAGTGAGTTGTTGTGAATAACAGTGAAAACTCACCACTTGGTGAACATGCTTGTGCACAACTTACGAACATAAAAGCTGTAAATTCAGGAAGAATTATCAAGAGGCATCCTGTTCTTGATTTTGCACTACACAGCAAATGGTACTCAAATGAAAAGGCAAATCAATTTCCCTGTTGGTTGATATCTGATTTCTTAGACTAAATGGCATCCAGAATAGAATCCAGTTTCCATTTAAAATACAATTACATTTCCCCTTTTTCTGCTTGTATACAGTCAATGTAACTTTACAACTAAATCTCATTCACTAGTGAAGGTTAGAAGACCTGCAGTGGTACAGAGCAGCGACAATCGAAAACATTTTTAACAAAACCCGCTGCTCTGTAACGTTTCCCATCAAACTGTATCGCTGCCAAGGCAGAAGCAACATACTTCTCTTATTTAATAGTGATCTCTTTCTTTCAAACACGTGAATAGAGATGAAGGGGGCAGTCCGATAAATTTACTCTACACCAAAGTGCAATTGAATTCAGAGGGAGCACTGTTAGTAGAGGCCTATTAGTTGTTGTGTGCTCAATTCCCTATGCACGAAAACGATGGTTTCTCTTCTGCTTCTTCTCTTGCTATATCCTCCCTTCGTTGGTCTGTCTTAAGTCAGATGCAACATTTCTCTCTTTCGTGTGCAGCTTGCTTCAGAAATGTTTGTCCTCAGACAGGTACTCTTTCATCTGTACTGTTCTTTCTTTATGCCGATGCAATGATTTTAAAAGACAATAAAAGACGTCAAATGGAGGGTGTGCCTGTTTCGCTGCTTCATAATAAGTTAATCATCACGCTGTCTCACTTTCTCAGAAGTTCTGACTCACTCACTGTGGTCATAAACAAAAAATATATGTATATATTTATATTGAACATTTGAAATGCATTTGGTTGCACATGAGATCAAATTTGTTCCCATTTTGATTCATTTGTGCACACAAGTTAAGTGTTTCTTCATATATGTATAAATGCAACACAATATTATTTACTCCTTTGCTATCCTTTGACAGTTGAGTATATTTTTTTTATATGTGCCAGGCACATTTTGCCAAATCCTTTCAAGAGCTGGTATTAAAACTGGCTCAGCATTTTCCCTTTGCAAAAAATGTGTATCGTGGCTGAGAAAAGAGATTGAAGGGAAATCAGGGAACTTGGAACAGAAGAGATAAGTGCAACAAGTGCAGTTTCAAAAATCTTATAACTGAGGGGGTAGTGAAGATGAAGACAACTATCAAGCAAACATGAATACAACTATGTAGAATCTAAGCCATTTTCAAACATTATCTTTGCTGAATTTCAAAGGAGGAAGGGAACGCATGCAGCATATCTGCTAGACCTCAAGCAAACAAATAATGCATTCAACCCAGCAGTTCATAGGAACTTCAGTTTAAGCGAAACTGAGAGGAAACTGAGAGGGTCTGTGGTGTTAACTAGATTATTTTCTTTTCTAGAGAGGAACTGTACCGCACTGCAGCTGCACACTGTAGGTAAATACAGCATAAAAACACACCACAAAAACAGTCACACACCTAAGGCAGCGTGAAGCAGAGAGAAAGCTGTGTGAGTCATGCACAGTCATGTTGTGTCCTATATCTGTCCTGGTGTGTGGAGGAAAGGCTGGGAGACATCATGTGAGAGTCATCAGGTAAAACATTTTAGTGATCAAGGGTTTGTTCTGTTTTTCTGTCTGTTCTGAGAGTTCTTGAGAAACACCTATGAACTTAGCTGAGACATCCCTGTCCCGTCATAATCAGCCAGATGGTGCCAAAGTCATCGCCAGGAAGCCGATCCCACTGAACAAGTCAGTTGAACAGATCATAAGACTGCAGTTCCTGATGTTTTCTCAGTTTCCTCATGATTCTATATCTGTGAGCAACAGATCACCAAACCAACCCACCACTGGTTTATGGCCTGTGTATAACAATGTATGAGATGGATGGAAAACTGTTTTGCATTGACTTAAAGAAAAAATGTCATATTAATTTAGCAGGATTCTTTTCTCAAAATTCTTTCTTTCATTAGAAAGCTGAATATAATCTTGTTTATTTAAAAAAAAACAGGGAATTGTTTCTCAGATTTTTTCTCATAACAATTTAATATGCTCTTGTTGTCTTGAAAAATGGTGGAAATATTTCCCCTCATAACAACAGACTGTAGTCTCATTAGTTAAGCAGAATTATTTTATCAGAATTGTTTTTCTCATTAATAAAATGAATATAATATATCTTATTTAGAAAAACTGTAGTTGTTTTCTAATTTAGAATACACTGTTGTTATCTTGAAATGTTTTGAAAAAACGGGTCAGAATTAATTATTTTCTTATCAAAACAGAAAAAACATGGAAGGTGGAATCAGAAAAAACGGATTCATTCAAAAAACAGGGCAGATTAAATAATCTGAATTTCTCATGAAAAGAGCAAATAATCTCAATAATCCAGAGAATCATCAGATTGTTTTTCAAAGATTTATTGACTCATAAAATAATGGAGTTAATTAAAGGACAGAGCTTCCAGAGAAGAAGAGTAAAGTAAATAAACTTTCTGTGTACGAACTTGTTTGTCACATTTCTACAAAGCTTCAGGCTCCATTTAAATGTGTCTCTGCTGGCAACAAGTGACGCTGCCGTGATCATGTGACCGAGAACCAATCACAAAGCAGAGTCGCTCTACGAGGAAGCGGCAGAGCAGGATATAAATGTGCTGGGTAGTGTAGTTTGTAGTTTGTGGGTCCGTGTTGTGTTGTGTTGTCGCTGACTTTGTTAACTTGTGTCAAACTGAAGAAGATGAAGATGACGAAGGCTCCTGTGCTGCTGCTGCTGGTTCTGACTGTGTGGTCAAACATCGGACACTGTGCTCCCTCCTCCTCCTCCTCCTCCTCCTGCTCCTCTCCTCCTTCGCAGTGGTGCTCCTCTCTGGACTCAGCTGTCCAGTGCGGGGTAAGTTCACATTATTTAAGATTTGTATTTATTTAATAAGAAACAACCCCAACGCACTACTTTAACCTCACAGGACATGACACATGCCATGTAGTTCCGGTCGACAGATCAGCCACCGTTTGAAATCCCTGCCCGGGATGAGAATGGAGGAAACCATGGCAACACGTTAAATTAGCTCATTTAGCTCACGAAGTTGTGTGGACTTCATTCTGTCCCATCTGTACGGTGGCCTGGAGAGTTCAACGCATTGCAAATTAACAAAACATTATGCAAATAGAAAAAAAACACATTGAAATTACGACTTGATCGACACATGCGCTGCAAAGAATCACAGCACCTGCAAAAAAAAACAGAAACATGCAAATAGCGACAACGGAAATGTTTCCAGGGGACCCATAAAAGCGATGAACCTGGCAGTAGTTCAATGTAAAGTCATTGGTTGGCTACTCTCTGCTAAGTGGTTGTATTGATTTGCAGTGGGCTCTGTTGGCCGCCGTTCATCTGCCAGTTTTCAGTTTCCTTGAAGAAGTGGACAAATGTGTTTTAGTGGGAAGTCAGGGCACTCAGTGAAAGAGGAAGTGAAACAGTGTCTATCTCTCTGTCTCTCAGTGCAGAGGTAGGACACTGGCGTAAACACAGATAATGCCATGTTTAGTTCTTGATTTTTATATTACTATGTTTAAACCTGCTTTTTCTCTTTCACTTCTTTCTTAGGAGCTCGGTGACATTTGAATTTCCCTACGGGGATGAACAAAGTATTTTTGATTCTGACTCTGATTTGAATAAACATCACAGTACATGAAACCCACTGTCAACATCTGGGTCATCTGCTTTGTGTATTTTGAATCGTTGATTTTAAGGTGGCACGAATGTAAACAGACATGTAAACACTCAGTAGAGTACATACCGCCACTAAGGCTCAAGAGTCAAGCCACCCCATAATTGGACACACTCATACATATCAGTTCCCTAAAAATGCCCCAGAAAATGTCCATCAAGATCCATCTGTGATCAAGATCCACCCCAAAGTTAAATGGGTTCTTCTCTGACCCACACCTTCCTCCAAGTTTCATGGAAATTTGTCCAGTTATTTTTGTGTTATCTTCCATGTAAACAAACCAACTAACAAACAAATGGAGAGGAGTGAAAATATCCTTTTGGTGGAGGTAACTAGAATGGAACTCCACCAAGGCCCAACAGGCCTCTTAACTTTAACATAGCCGTACAAAAATTGCACATACTCAGATGATCTTTCTTGACTCACATGTCACATCCCATACTTACATCAAGTTTCTTGGAAATCCACTCTGCAGTTTTTGCGTAATCTTGCCCGAAAAACAACTGAGTGTATTCATGTGGTCTCGCAATAGTCTGAAAAACATGTTCCTGACTGTTGAACACTCATGTGAAGTCCAAACAGAAATTGCTGAGATGGTGACATCATCAGTTATAAACCAACCGACATTACAAAATCAAACTGTTGCTTTTAACGTGAACTCATCACATGTTACCCCCCCCCCCCACACACATACAACTAAAGTTGATCTCTCCACTTTTGCCCTCATGTGCAGGTTTTGAAGCACTGCCTTGAGTCTAACTTCACCAGGTCCCGCCAGACAGCAGATCCAGTCGTGGTGGGGCTGTACTATGAGAGTCTCTGTCCCGGCTGCAGATTATTTCTATCAGATGTTCTCTTCCCAACCTGGGTCTTGCTGCAGGAGATCATGAAAGTTACTCTGGTTCCCTACGGAAACGCTGTGGTAAGCAGTGAACCAAGGAGGTTGGTTATATGGTTCGATTGTATTTCTATCTACTCTAGATTATGGAGGGTTTTTGGTGTTGTCATAAAGATAAGTGACGTTTATCTTACTAAAAGAAAAAAAGAAGTATAGACAGGAGAAGTCAAATCTAAACAAGATGTCAAACTTTTTTGTGGTCACAAAAATAAGCAAATAGACATGAGGATCCAAGTATAGGTTTCCCTCTTAGCTGCTGATGGGAAAGGTAGAAACATGTATAGTAGATCACAATCTTGCTCAAGAAATTATGTTTGTTTGTTTGTTTATTACTAACCTTTGAATGTGTGCATTTACCCGTTCCCCATCCACAGGAGAAACCTGATGGAAAGAAGTATATTTTCGAGTGCCAGCACGGAGAACAGGAGTGTCTGGGTAACATGATCGAGGTAAAGTTTGATCCCTTAACACACAGTGAGAGAACTGCACTGCTGAGAGTTAATCTACATATTGGAACCATGTTATCCGCCATCAGTGTGGATTTTTATAAATCTGGGTGACGTGATAGCATTGTAATTGGTCAGAGAATCACTGTCTCCAAATTTCCTTATTGCCTTTTTTATACTTGTTATATACACACTACTATAATTCCTTGATTGTTAGTCATGTGTGTTTCTGCCCCACTCCTTTCAGACTTGTTTGATGAACAAGACCGATGCTTTCCCGATCATCTTCTGTATGGAATCCTCAGCTGATGTCATCAAGTCAGCCAAAAGCGTAAGAAAGTGTGTGTGTGTCATTTGGCTGTTGTCTGTTTGTGTACCTTTTTCTTTGGACCATCTTTTCTTTCACTATCACCCCCCCACACACACACACATATTATTTCACTGCTGTGTGTCCATTTGCTTCTGTTGAAATTTGTAGTGTACGGAAATCTACGACCCAGACTTGAGCTGGGGCGATGTCATGAGCTGTGTGACAGGAGACGTGGGAAACGAGCTTATGCATCAGAATGCCATGATGACCAAAGCTCTGAACCCTCCACACGAATATGTGCCCTGGATTACCATCAACGGGGTAAGGCTCCTGTGTAATTAGTCAATCCTGCAGAAAAACCATGTCCAGGAAGTAGCTAGAAATGATTGCTCTCTACCACTTATCCTTTGAGGGTCACGATGGCCACGAAGCCAGTCTCAGGCCCCTCTTTTCAGTGCCCCCGTTCTGCCGCTGCTGCTGCTGCATGCTTTGTAAACAAGCAACGTAACATTTAAAGTGATGATATAATGTTGTGATCATTTAGAATTTTGCCCCAAAGCTCCAATCAGGGAGTCAGTGAGCGCTGTGACTGATGCGTGTGAAGCTGCAGCTTGATGTGACTCAGGCTCAGTACAACAGATGCCACTGTATATCTGCCAAGAAACCTGGGGCCAAACACAGTGACTTGAAACTGGAGTTCACTCAAAAGCTACTGGGCAAGAAAAGAAGGGGGGGGGGGGGACTCATCACTCACTAGGCACCAGAAAAGAGCCAGTCACTGTGTGGAGAGCTAAAGATTTGCAGCAGTTTACTGTATTCAAGCCTGAACAGAAACAAAGAAAAGGAATTTTACAGGATATACATTTCTTTCTAAAATAAACAGGACATTTACAAGATTGCGTGGAACCCAATATTCTGATGTTAACCAGATTAAGACATTAGTCTGAATTAGACACTGCCACACAAAAAGCATTTTCTAACTACATTAACCTGAATAATGAGATAGAAACGTGAGTATTCTGATCTTAGTCGCATTATGTAGACATGTACGCCTTAAACACATTATATTGTCGTACAGCAACGATGTAGTTAACACATGCTTGATGAGCCATGACCCCTTCACGAATAACTATGTGCTTTAAGACACTTTCATGAAATCATACTTAAAGAAGTGTGACACGGCTCCTCAGATCATTATTCTTATGATTTAAGTTCAGCTTTGGTCCTACATTCAGCTGGTGATTCATGTTTGGGAAACAGCCTCAGTGACACCAGCTCCGGTTTATAAAGCTGAGTCAAACTTCTCATCTTTACAGAGTTGAGAAGCAACAGTTTTGTGGTGTTGAGCAACAATCACATGACCCTGTAGGTAAACTTTAACTGCAACCGCTGTTGCTCTTTGCCTTCGCACTCACTCTGTTTTGCACTTTGTAGTTTTTCAGTGTGACTGTCGTACTATTATAAATGTATATTATAAATATGCAACTTTTGGGCAAACCTCAGCTACGTTCCACTGAAGACGGTGTTGCCCTGCGATGCATCCCTCCCTCCGGGTCTAAGAGCGTCAAAGAGGCAGAGCAACAGTTTTCAGAAAAGCGTGAACATATATTTCTAGATCTGTTGAACTGGACAATAAAGCGACTTTATCCTGCCACCTCCGTAGTACAAAGTCTGTGTAATGTCCGAGCTGTAACAGGCAAACATGACACAAAATGTTCATTAGCATTTTGCACTTCCACAGTTTTCAACTACATCCTTAATTTCACACATTGACTATCCACGATCCGCTCATGTTCGAGGTTTTGACTTAGTCTTGTTTAATTTTGATATGTAGTAAAGTTAGTGATAGTGCGAGCTCCAATAGAAATATGACATGCTGCTATGTGGCATTTGTTATAACATTGCCTACTGGGTTGCAGACATTGCGTCTCTGTCTTGGTTATTCCAATAAAAAGCTTTTAATTTGTATTAATTTTCAGAAGCACACAGAGGACCTCCAGGATGAAGCCATGAATTCTCTCTTCACTTTGGTCTGCAACATGTACAAGGTGTGTTTTGTTTTGCCTTCTGCCCTTTATCACAATTGTACTTGTCGTTTTACTTATTTTTTATTTGCTTGGACTTTATCTTTGACCTCTAAAACAATCCCTTCATTTCTTTTTCAGGGCACCAAGCCTCCAGTGTGTGGAGGGGACCAGAGACACTACAAAAGCTACTGCCACAAAGAGTGAAGGAGCATCACCAGCTGTTGTGCTCGCTCTGTTCCAGGTGTGGCCTCCAAACAAACAACTCAGAGGGATGTCATCAAGACATTTTTTTTTTTTTTTGTTTCTGTTTGTGTTTGTATAAAGGGAAGAATTGATTACCTCACTTTATAATTCACAGAATATAAATACAAGGTCATTTTTTAAATAAAAAAAGTGCCATCATTAAAACTGTTTTCCTAAACCATGAAACCATAAATAACTTTTTGTAGCATTTGGTCAATGTGTTAAAAAGTGTTTTTAAGTGAGTGAAATGAAGTGGAAGAATCCTCGTGGCAGCCATGACAAGAGCTGGTTGAATATTTGAAGGTGCTTCAGGGCTTCCCTTTTTACAGCTTTTAGCATAGCAGACATTTTAGGAAAGGACATGAGATATTGCCATCCCACAATTCTTTGAGGTAGCAATATTTAATAATGATAATAATAGTCACAACATTTTGTATTATTTTTTGGATTTATATAGTTCCTTTCAAGGTACCCCATGACGCTTTACAAAATAAGGGAAATCAAAACGTAAAATGAGACAACATAATAGAAATCCAACTGGGTAGTTTTTTTTTTTAGAGATGTGCCGGAGAGTTTCACAAGGTGGGGGCTGCCACCCTGAATGTACTGTCACCATAGGTTCTCAGGTTGGTACAAGGAACGGTGAGCAGATCTGAATCTGTGGACCGTAGGTTCTGGGATTGAGTAAACGGGTGGAGGACAGGCACTGGAGGACATGGAGGGACTTATGTGTGATGAGCAGAAGATAATTACATAGTCTACGCTGCTATATAAAACGTCCTTATGAATTGTCCTTCGTAACTTTCCTCAATCTCATTCGTGTTTACATCAACACAATGGAAAACATGGGCAGGAAAGGTTTAACTGTCAGTGTTCTTGCTGTCCCTTAGATGGCGCCATATCTCACAGTCCCTTTTTATCGAAGTTAAGAGAGAAACAAACAGACACGTTTATGTTATGTGTAAAGAACTGTTATCTGTGTCATACTAGTCTTGAGATCATTATTTTAGCTCCATAACGTTCCATAACTCTGAATGCATTATATTCTGTCCTATGAAAGGTTTTACACAACAGATTTCAAGTTCAAATACATGTTATAGCAAAGTCCACCTAATTATACTTTCTACACTTGTTAATGAGCAAAGCAAGGCTCATAACTAAAGGCACTGCAATAGTTTGAGGGATTCATGTGTCACAACTGACGTCATACTTTGTTTTGTGTTTGGATTTTAAACCCAGCTTCATGTGGGTGTGCAGCAGCAGGAGCAGGGTCATTAAAGTTCATCTCTTTAGAATCCTACTGATCATCCTACTGATGATTAGAAATAGTAAATCCTTCAGTAGTTTAAAAACGTATGTTAAATGTTGACTGGTCCGACCAGCTCTGGTTGCCCTCGGTCGTCTGATTCTACAGTCAGATAGACACACGTGAATAATGGTCTGTAATGCGTGCAGCTCCGCCACCTCAGTCTCACCCCCAGCTAAAGTCTGCCCCCTCTGTATGTTCAATCATTAACACTCAACATACCAATGATTCAAAAATTCATTGTATCTTGGTCTAATTAGCTCACAGGTAAGAGGCCACAGTTTGTTTAACTGACGAGAGAAAAGGTAGCTGCTGATCACTGATGTATCGACAGCTGACAGTTTCTGAAGAGGCGTGGAAAAAGTCCTTCGCTGAGTGACGGGCCAAAGAACCGTTGGTGCCAGAAACGACTTTGTAGCCGATGTTAGATGTTGTTCCTGTGTCCTGTCTTTCCCGCCTAGTTCCCCTGATTTACTGAAGCAGCTGAAAGCATGAGGAGAAATAACTCATCAAAAATATTCAACTTCACCGAGGTAAGCGTCATTTTTTATCTTTTAAAAAAATACAA